AATCTCAAGTACTCCAAGTAAAATTAATGTTAGAAATATAGCTTTTTATACCACCTGAGTCCATATTGGCCTGGAGTTCTCGCTGCTGGCTTACTTCATATGTTAAAGTTTTGCCGGCGTAAATGAAATCGTTGGTTTCAGAGGTAGTCGAAGTACATCGCTGATACTGGTTTGTGTTTGAGGTAATCTTTACACACTGCCCCCCTCTCACCCCCCCCCCACTGCCTGGCCCCCCACCCTGTCTGTCCGGGGCCCACCTTTCCCCTCCCCTCTTCCTCCCAACCCCCATTTTCCCTTCATTTCCCACGCTGTCCCATCCGCTTTGGTCTTATCAATAAATCTCCGGGCTACCGAGGATAACTGGTACTTAAAAGCTCATCTTACTGTATCACTGGAGACACTATTAACAGATAATCTTATTTTATATGTTAATATTTTATAGCTAGAATATATTAATTGATTTCCAGGGCTACTCTGGGTATATAAGTGACATTGGCTTTTGTGACTGACGTGCTGTTTACACACCATCCTGCACCCCAAAATCACCCCCATTCCCACACTCTTCCCATTCTTCTGGTATTTCTAGACCCCCTCCCCAATATCTCTCCTTCTACAAGAGTGTAATTACTAATTAATAATTCTAATTAATAATTCTCAAGTATTACAAGTAATACTGATGTAAAGGTAGAGGTTATATTCCTGGAGTTGCTATTCATTGGTGGCTTTATTTGATATGTTATCCTTTGGCAGCTGGGCTATATTAGTTGATTTCCTGGAGTTGCCTCGGTATAGCACCGGTACTGAGCAGTGTGATGGACGTGTTCTTTATAAGCCCCGCCTCATCCCAAACTCATGAGATCTCCCCCGCCCCTACCTTGTCCTCCATCTCCCTTTCCCTCACCTCCTGTAGCCCTAGTTCCCCTACTCTCCCCACTGTTCCATCCTCCCCATTCTAATTAATAAATCTCAACTCTTCTAAGTAGTGATAATAAAGTCTACCATGTCACTGGAATCAGTGCTAATTGATAACTTTATTATAGATGCGAATGTTCTGCAGATGGAATTATTGAGATGATTTCCTGGGTATTGTACGGTTCATGTGATGTTTACAGGCCCACCCCGAATTCTCCCCAATCTCCCCCTCCCCCCATCCTCTCCTCCCCTGCCCTCCCCACCCCTTCATTCACCTACTCTCTCCCACTGCCCTTCCTACTCGTCCTTATCACAAAAGTTAATAAATTGCATATATTCCAAGTACTACCGGTACAGAAGTAAAGTTGGTTGTAATATGTTTGTGATGGCTGTTAATGAGTGGCTCTATTTCATAGGTAAGTGTTCTACCTCTCGAATACATTAGTTGACTTTCTGGAATCAGTACATCATCAGTGCTGGACTATGTGATTAATGTGATCTATACGCAACAGCCCTGCGTTCACAGTCACCCCCACACCCACCCTCCCCAACACCTCCTCCCATCCCCCACCTTCACTTTGACCCCCACCACTTCCTCCTACTCTCACATCCTCCCCTCTCCCATTACAAATCTCAAGATTTTGAAGTAATATTGATATTAAAAATAAAGTCTGTTGCATTCTGTCACTGGCCTGATTAAGTGATGGCTTTATTACTGCGTAGGTCAGTGTTTTGGAGCCGGAATGTACTGGTTGGCTTCCTGCGGTGTTCTGTGTATATAACTGATACAGGGTCGTGTGCTTGATGTGTTCCTTATACACCACTCCCACCCCAACTCACCGTATTGTACACTTTCCACCCACTCTCCATTGCCCTGGCTCCTCTACCCCGCCCTCCCTATGCCTAATAATAAAGATCAAATTATATATATATGTATATGTATGTATGTATATATATATGCATGTTTTTATGTCACTGGAGCCTACTAATTGGCTGATTTATTATATATATAAATGCTTTGTAGCTGGAATGTATTGGTTCACTTCCTGGGGTATTCTGGGTATACCATTAATAATGTAATGTGATTGTATCCCTCCCCCAATCCCACCCTCCCAATCTCCCTCCACACCAATTAATAGATCTCAACTGTTCTAAGTAATATTGATGGAAGAAATAAAGCTTGTCAGGTCAGTGGTGTCATTATTAAGTTATCTATCTATCTATCTATATAAAATTTTTTAGCTGAAGTGAATGAGTTGATTTCCTGGGGCACTCTGGGAATATAATTGATCCTGGGTTGTGTAACAACGTGATCTTTGCATGCCACCTCCATCCTACACTCACCCCGTTCTGACCACGTCAGCCCCTTCCCATGCCCCACTGTGCTAAGTCCCACCATTCCCCCTATTCCTCCAATCGCCCCCTGCTCTCCCCATAATCCCTCCAATAGGCCTCAGTCAATCTAAGTAATATTAATATTAGAAATGAAGCTTATTGTGTCCCTCAAGTCACTATGCATTGGTGATATAGGTTAATGTTTTGCAGATGGGATACATTCGCTGATTCCTGGGGGTTTGCAGATGATCCGACGTCCAACTGAAGCGTTCTTTATACAGCATGGCATCCCTTGCCCCAAAGGCACCCCACTCGCTCTCTCCCCACCCCCTCTTCCCACCTCCTCCTCTCTTCTTCCCACCTCCACCCTTCTCCTCACTCTTCCCTGTCTCCCCGCCCCTTCTTATTAACAAGTCATCATATGAGATTAAGTCACTGTTAATTGTGGCTTTATTTTATGTTAGTTTTTCAGGTGGCATAAATTGATTTCCTGGGGTATTCTGGGTACACACTGAGCTGGTGTGTGATTGATGTATTCTTCATACACCACCCATTCCAAACTCACCCTGTGCCCCGCCCCGTCCCCACTTCCCCTTTTTTTCTACCTTCCCCCACGCTGCCCAATGTCCCACCTGCCACGGGCCTACTAATACTATCTCAAGTATTCCCAATGATACTGATATTAAAAGGTTTTTCCTATCACTGGAGTCACTATTAAGTGGCTGCTTTATTATATGTGTTAATGTCTTGCAGCTAGAATAAATTGGTTGACTTCCCGGGGCATTCTGGGTATAACACTGACCTTGGGGTCTGTGATGGATGTACTGTGTTCATTACACACCACCTTCACCCTCATCCCACCCTCCCACACTCTCTTCTTATCTTTAACCCTCCAGTCCCTCCTCTTCCTCTCCCACTAGCCCGCCTCCCCCACTCCTATTAATAAATATCCAGTAGTATGCCAGGTTATATTAAACATTTGTTGTGTCATTATTGATTTCTGTATATGTTAATATTCTGGGTTCATAAGTTGTGTGACTGGTGTGTTCTGTATACGTCACCCCATCCCAAACTTACCCCCACCCCCATCTTCCCCACCCCTTTCCCCCAACTTCCCTCTCCCCCTTTCCCTTTTCTTGGTCCCCACATCCCCCAACTTTCCCACCTTCCACGCTCCTTTCAGTGAATTTCTAATAGTCCAAGTATTATTTATATTAACATCTGTTGTCACTGAAGCCACTATTCACTGGTTGCTTTACTACATGTTAATGTGCTGCAACTGAAATATGTAGGCTGATTTCCTAAGGTGTTCTTTATGTAGGATATTGAGATGTGTGATTGATGTGTTTATACATCACCCCATCCCCAAACCATCTCACCCCCACCCTTCCCAACTTTCCTCTTCTCCCCTTTTCCCCCATCCCTCACTCCTACCCCGTGATCATCCCATCTTCTCATCCCTACCCTCCTCACCACTCCACCCTCCTTCACCCTCCACCCACCCCCACCCATGCCCTTGACGCTGGTGGGCGCTGAAATGATCAGGACCAATTTGCACTAACCACTAAATCTTTATTGAATTGTTATAACATCAATACACTATAAGTAAATATAGAGATATATAAAGAGAATACAGCAATAAATTGAAGAAGGGGTAGGGGTTGGGGGGGTAGGAAGTATAGGGTTAGGGAAGAGGGGAGGGGTAGGAAGGCTGCTGACAGGGGCACAAGGGTCACTCTGCTATAACTTCCATGAATATTTACCATCTGCTGTAATCAAATTCACTCAGCAACAATTTCTCAAAGGGTACCTATCCATCCCGTAACTGTCAAGGTTTTGCTCACAATCTGATCCCTGGAGATAATACCTAGGGCCTTTGCTCAATTATTCATCTAATTATCTTTGAACTTTCCATAGGGTTTTATCCATGTCCAATTTGCTCTCACTAGGCTGTACTCCCTTCAGTTCCTTCTGAATTTCTTGGAAATCTTAAAGGTAACAATTCAAGGGTAAGGGGTGATAAGTAAGTATATGTGTTTACTTCAAGAGATATCTAATACCTAATATTATCCTAACTGTCTAAATAATCCCACCCATTAAAGATTATGTAATAGTCCCTCCCACCCTAAAATAATTGAATATATATCCCCAACTGCTTAAAATGATAACATAAAGAAATTAAAACAATGCAGTGTTCCACAGGTCAATATAACAGTGTTCTACAATCTGAAACAACAAAGAACTTTCAATCCCATCAAAAGTAACGTGGCTCCCCACTGGGCTCTTCTTTCTTCAGGTGGTCTTTCACGATTGCGCAGATCTTTCCAGGAGGCTGTTCTCTGTTGCCAGTCGTGGAACAAATCAGATGTACAGCATCTGTGGTGGATGACAGCTGGACCAATTCAGGAGTCTAAGAGGTACCTGCAACTTGAACAGAATTCCAGACTGCACCATAGAGATGCGCCCCTCCTCTGCTGTACAAGCTCACTGTATTTCCTCACATGATCTAATCAAACTGATATCCAAAACAGTACCTCCTGGCTCAAACTAAATTGACCCTTCAAAAATGTATGTAAACTTCCTGTTCCAACATCCTCAGCTACTTCTCTCTTCAGGCTCAACTAGCAACTACAATCTGATCTTTTTCCTACTTGATGTAGCTGTCTTGATTTATCTATCTCCTTTCTGTTTTGTTTTGCTCCTTTCCTAACAACCTGTTTTTTATGAAAAAAAAAAAAAAAAAAAAAAAAAAGCATTTTTATTGAAAATGACAAAAGAAATTCTTAAAAGAGCCAAATAACATAAATTTGATCAACAAAAACAAATCAGTTGAAAGGAAACTTATCTAAATTTTAATACTATAGAATTAAGATTACTTATCCTTAACCTCTAATACTTATCCTTAACCTCTAATACTTATCCTTAACATCTAACACTTATAGATAATATAGATAGTAAGATAGCATAGTACACACTGCCAAAAGTTAACTACAAGCTTCAGAAAACAGTCCAATGCATGTCAGGGATTTTGTGAGCTGAGAACCCACATCAGCATGCTCTCCCTGACCATCCCGTTGTTGGCGAACTTCTCCAGACTTCTGCTTGCAGCGGTGGCAGATGTCCGTGTGCACGTGTCAGGGCTGCAGGCACCTGCCCGTGTAGGGGCACTCTGCAGCTCGAAGATCAATTATAACTATAAATTGAACACAGAACCACTTAAATTCAAATGGAGGATGGAGTGAGATCTGAGGTAAACTGAAGTAACGCTTCACCATAGTCCAGAAGCACAAATGCACCATTTCCAAAGTAATTACTTTAAAACACATGGGTGACCGACAAGCTTTCTGATTCCACTGAAGAAAGCTAGGAAAAGTTGTTTGGAACTAAATAGCCAATTAGGTTAGCCAATTTGAAACTTGTCTATCCTTTTGTGTGATTTTCAAAGGCCCAACTGATAATATTGATTTTTTTCTATTAAAATTGAAGATTGAGGATGTTAGCTTTGTTTAGTCTAAGTAAGAATTGGGCAGTACACCTTATAATCCAATGGAAATTTCAGACAGCATAGTCACCACTTTAAAACACTGGTAAAAGATGCTACTACAGCTAAAACTTTAAAATATTTAAGCATGCAAGGATAAGGGGGGTGATAATGAGGGTGAGAAGGGAAACTTCACCGTAGATACTCCTCTTCATGACAGGCAATTAGAAATGTAATCATGTGGTTTCCTACTGCTCAAACTGATTTGGCAATGGGAGAGTGCTTCCTCCAGCCTGCTTTTCTTTCCTCTCCGTGCATGGAGTCTCAGCAACCAGGCAGGAAGGTGGCACCCATCCTGCAGCAGGGTTGACGGCAGTAGTAAAGAATTAAACAGAGAGAGGTTAGACAAATGGGTCAAGGTGGTAGCAAGGGACCAGGCTAAAAGAAGTCAGGCAGTCCCAGTTCAGCACAGAGCATCCAGGAGACACAAGACGTGTCACTGGACTGAGTCATGTGAGTTGGGTCCTGAGGCCTTTCATCCTCTGGCAGCTTTCTGGCAATCTCTGATCATTTTGAAGCGTAGATTCTCAAGACAGTGTCCAGCGCTCTAATTCTTCCCACGCACAGGTTTGGGTGCTCAATTACTTCCTCTCTCTACGCATCCTAATGCTTCACCTGAAGAGGGGATGGAATGCCCAGATGTATACGGTGGAAGAGTCTTATGACTGAGAGGTGGTCACAGTCTGACAAAGACCTAACACGCTTGGAGCTACCAGCGTTCTCTGGTTGCCAGGGTAACACTGTATGGAAGCCATTACTGGCATGGTGATGGTAAGATGTTGTGTCAAAGCCAGAGTTCTTGGGTACATGTGATTTGCACCAGGATGTGAAGGCATGCTCTTTAACACGCAAGTCTGTCTGAGAGAGCACTTCCTTTGCAGGCCTGAGGGGTTCCATGTTGCAGGGGTTTTGCCTGCTCCTAGGACAGCCAGTCCAGTTGCTGTTCCTTGAGAATTAAGGAGCCATGAAAGTGGAGTTTGAAGATGGTGAAGTTCCCGTGGGTGCAGCAAGAGGATCACGGAAGCCTTTCCACACTGCACCAGTTAATTGTGGCTTCCTTTGTAAGGCATTGGTCTCAGATAATGTAGAGGACCGAAACTGTAAGAAAGGTCAGGTCCTCCTTCTTCTTGTCTCCCCCTCCATAAAGAAATCAGCATCTCCTGTGTGTGCATCAGCTTCTCTGTAGAGAAAATTTGGCAGCGGTAAAATTGGCAGTCAAGGTTCAAAACTGAGAGATACTTTGTTGGCATTCTGTGGCTCCCAGAATTGTTGAGGGTCTTTTGGTGCTTTAATGTGTACCAGTTCAGGGTGGCCTTGACCTTCAGTAGCCTTTCAGAGAGGTCGTGCCTCAGGTGGCCTGAAGATGCAGTAGCACAATTTAGCACAGTCACTGATTGAGAAGCTGCACAGGAATGAACTTGGAGGGTGGAGATCTTAAAGGACATGTGAGGTACTCACATGGCACTGTAGGAGGGAGGCGGAGGAGGTGGTGGGGGTGGAGGAGGCGGCTGCGGAGGCGGATACTGGGGTACTGGAGGCTGGCGGTACCAGTGGGGATTCCAAGTGATCATGACAGGCACGAAGAGGGCTCTTCCTTGACCGTCTCGTCCCACTGGGTACCATGCAAATCCCACTGGGTAGGTGGGATAGGCGGCATAGGCAGGGTAGGATGGGTATCCTGGCACTTCAGGAACAAATTCAGCATAAGTTGCCAGGTGCGCTTGGTCATCCAAATTTGGAATTGACAGGCAAGGATACTCATTCTGGATGGTGAAATTGTTTGGAGCTCGGCAGTCGTAAGACACCTGCAGCTTCCACCCCCTCTTCACCTGGAGAACCCGGGCTCCATTTGGTGCGATGGTGGGGGTGATCAGCCCATCCTTCACGTTTCTGGCCACAAAGTCGCGGAGAGCTGCCATCTCCGGTTCGGACAGCGAATAAATGTGGCCACTGGGAATGCTGTGTGCTCCAGGGATCATCTCAATGTGAGGGTCGACCAGCCGATGATCCGGATAGACATGCTCGTCTACTGGAGTGTACACATTCTGGACATAGTAGTATCTGACTGGTTGGTAGACTCTGAACCCGTCTACAGCGTAATAAAGCGACGGGTGGGGCACCGCGGCGGGTACACAGGGAGGAATCGGAGAGTATACCCGGCAGTGGAATCTGCAGTAGTCGGAGTCGAAGACGATGGAGCGGGTGCTCCAGGTGATGTTGGGGTCGTGGGTGCTCAGCCAGCGAACCCCAAGGACGATGGGGAAGAAGGGAGACTGAGTGACATCGAAGGACAGCACCTCGCGGTGATCTCCCAGCTCGACGATCAGCTCGTGGGTTTCGTGAACAATCGGGCCCGATGCTATGGGGCGCCCATCGATCGCTTCCACCAGGATTGGCCAGTCCTTGATTCTCAGCGGAATTCCGTTCAGGGCAACGTACTCATGATCGATGAAGTTGCCAGAAGCACCCGAATCGATCATGGCTCGGACAAACAGGGTGTTTCTGCCCGGGAGATGGACCTGGAGCATCACTTGCAAGTGAGCCTCTAAATCATCTTGGGACCTTATGATTTCTGGCCCTGCCGCTGATGGTCCCTCTACAGCGGGGCCGGGGAGTTTCCCGCCGGTGAAGACTTGGAGGCCTTGGCTGGACAGTTGTCGGCGTAGTGCCCTCCATTCCCACAGTAGAGGCAGAGGTTCAGCTTGCGACGTCTCTCCTTCTCCTCCTGGGTGAGGCGCATGCGGGCACCCCCGACAGGCTCGGTGGGGTCGTGGTGGTGGTGGTGGTGAGCCAGCACCAGCGCCCGGGGCGGGGAGCGCGGCTTGCGTGCAGCAGCAGCGGCGGCCCTGACCAGCCTCCTCTCAATGTGAATGCACTGGCCAATCAGAGCGGACAGCGACTTGGCAACCTCCAGGCGGGACAGCTCCTCCTGGATGTGGTCACTGAGGCCCTCATGGTACTGGTCAATCAGCGCAGGCTCATTCCAATCCAGGTCCTGGGCAATCATCTGGAAAGCGTTGGAATAGTCGATGACAGAGCCCATGCCCTGGCGCAGACGTCTGATCTTGCGTTTTGCAGCCTCGCGCCTCTGGGGGTCTTCAAAGATATGCTTCAGCTCCATCATGAAGGCTGGGTAGTTGTGCATCAGGTAATGGGCTCGCTCCAGCTTGGCGGAAGCCCAGCGGGCAGCACGGCCGGTCATCATGCTTGTCACGAAGCAGACACGGACGCGGTCAAGTGAGAAATCTCTGGTGCTCCTCTCCATGAAGGTCTGGCACTGGGACATGAAAGCAGCCAGCATGTCTGGGTTGCCATCGAACTTCTCTGGAAGGTCTTCTTCTGGGCAGTCTTCCTCGGTCTGGGTGGATGGGACAGCGGCTGCCGCAGCGCCCTGCAGCTCAATGTCATCCTCGTCATCCTCAGGGGTCGGCTCCACCTGCTCGCGGAGAGTGCTGTTCTCCTCGGTGAGTTTCTGCACCTGGCTCTGCAGGTTGCTGTTCTCCTCGGACTGCCTGATGACCACCTCTCTCAGGTTGTTGATCTCCTCGGACAGCTCATCGCGTCTGCGTTCGGTGGAGTTGGGCACGCAGGCGCTCTTGTGGCCACTGGGTTTGTTGTTGTTGTTGTTGTTGTTGGGGGGAGGGGGAGGGGGAGGTGGGGGGCAGCCAGCAAGACCCATGGGCACTGCTGGGGTGGGAGGAGACCTCCCAGGTGCCGGTGTGGCTTCGCTCCTCTGGGGCTGGAGGCCGGGATCCGGGCCCCCTCTTCCACCCCTCCTCCTTGGTTTCAAAACTCGCTTGTTTCTGTAAATGAACATAAGAATCCACATTTAACATATGCATTCAAAGCAGCATAATGCAAAGAACATGACAATTAGCATGAAACTCTTGCTCTACTGGCTCATATTAATAATTAATGAACAAAGAACATATTGATAATGACCACTGATAAACAGCAAACATCCTCAGAACAAAAGAGAATAAAGCTATCAATCAGGACAGTAGACAATAAAGCACATCAGCTTTGGCTCTCTAAGTGATCTATTCCTCTTCAAAGTCACCTGTTTCTTATAATTCAACAATAGTGCACTCTGTCATCAGCGTGTTTATCTTTGCAGACTATAACATAATGCTGAGACATGGCAAACAAGCACTTTTGTATCAAGGGAACACAGCAAAAAACTTCCAGCACAAAGATGGATACCAAACAATGTCAAAATGGTAACTCTTCCTATTAGAGGAGTTAGGTAAAACATAGAAAATATTCCAACCAATAATATACCACAAAAAGAGGGGGGCTATTAAAAGCACAACGCACATGGCCACCTGTCACAACTCAGGCCTACCTCTACAGAAAAGTACCTAATGACCTAATCCTAATCCAACAGCACCAACGTCACAAAAATCACAAGACTAATTACTAATTGCTTTTTTGTAAACACTAAAATTACTAATTACTTTTCTGACCATAATTTAACTTTCCAAAGAGAATTCTCCATGGGGCAGAGATAGCACTAGACAGCAAGGTGTGTCACTCTGAGCTTCCTTATGCAGATTCTTCAACAAATACCAGTGCCTCCCAGGGAGAGCTGAGCTATACCCAGGACCTTCCCCACAAATAGGCCCAGTAATAGCATACTTCAAATTTATTTTGATTTAATTAAATAATGCAGATAAATTGCACAGTACATGTCCAATACCTGTTAACTGATATTAATAAAGTTATCAATTAGAAAACAGGAAGATAACGTTCTGTGTAAATGGGGGGGGGCTGCAACTATAGCAACCAGGGCATCCATTGCCTATCTAAAGATATTTTAAAAAATTTTTTTTAAAGTTTAAAAAAAATATTAAAAAAAATTTAAAAAATAAAGATATTTAAAAATATATTAAAAAAAATACCATGTTAGTAAAAAAACTCAGGGCTTTATTTGTCCTGTAGGTCACCAGTTTGCAATCCCTTGTCATCAATTAAGATTTGTCAGCGGGGGGGCCCCCCCAAAGGTTTACAGTGATAGGTGGGGTAAGGCTGCACCCCCCCATATGCATGGAGGCAGGGCAAGTGGACCAAAGCCGGTGTTCCAATTATGAGGGATGACAATAAATCATAATAAAACATCTGCCTGTGTTCTTGCTGAAAATAGGGTTAAATACATTTAGAGTGATGTAATCATTTAAAAGTTTTCAGTGACCTCAAATTCTAAATCTGGCAAATTTAAATAAATAAAAAATTAAAAACATTATATTAAAATTAAAGGAAGTTTTAAACTTTCGAATTTAAAAGTTTAACAAAGTCTAATTAAAAAGTTTAACACTTTTTCAAAAGTTTGAAGCTTTTCAAAAGTTTAAAACTTACTTTTCAAAAGTTTAAAACTTCAAAAGTTTTTAAAGTTCTTTTATAAGTTCTGAATTTTTAAAAAATAATTAATTTTTCTAATTTAAAAAGTTCAATAAAAGTTTACAGGCATGGCATATCAAAGTTTAAAAAGTTTAAAATATAGTTGTGCATTTAAAAGTTTAGTTGAAAACCTTTAAATAAACAAAAGTTTAAAATACAATATAACTTGCTTCTCTCTGACCTGTGAGGGCAAAAATGGGCACTAAATAAATTACATAAAGCCCAAAAGGAAAAGATTTGTTAGAGTTAGGTGGAAAATATCTAATATAAACCAATACAGTATAAGAAAAATATAAAAAAAGGTTAATCAAACATGATTACTGTGCATATCAATCAGCCTTTCATGTTACACACCCCTCCTCAGGCCCCGCCCCCTCATAGCTCAGCACCCCCAGGCCCCGCCCCCTCCTAGCTCAGCACCCAAACAATTTCTCTCTGTCTTGTCCTGCTGATGTGACCCCTGGGAGGGCAGGTCATCCATCAAGCCAGATCCCTAAAGGACAGGGATGAGTGTGCCATTTTAATTTTAACCCTGCTACTTAACCGTTTTAGTAACTTTTGGTATGAAAGCAATAAATAATTGACATTCAAGATAAAATATTCAACCTTAAAAAAAAATCAGAAAACACAATAAACACATCATAACCTGTGACATCCATTCTCATCTCCAACTCTATAAAGATACTGTCTTTAAAGATCTTTAATTCAAGGCCTCATATGACCTTCCAGGTCACCAGTTTAAAACCTCTGGCAATATAAACTTACAACGTAATGTAAATTTTATTTATTAAAGAGTTTTAATGTCCCATTAAAGAACTAATAAACATAGTTCAGGTAACTAATGTACCACTTCTGTCATCTAGACATTAACACTTTAAAATAGAGACAGGAGCCCTTAATTGTATTGGCAGCATGGCCTGGTGCAGTCTGACCTAGATCAGGAAGGTCAACAATGACCACTGTCAATCACAGACCCTGGGTGGGGCTTTATCAACATCTATAAAGAACCACGGGGCAGAAATCACATTAGGACATCAGCAAGCAATCAATATATTATTTAGGGAAACAAAAGATCAATAAGGGATAAAACTCAAATACCTTTATTAAACAGGGCAATAATTTAAAAGTGACAAGAGGCTGAAGGTAAAATATAGGGTGGGGCTCAAGTATAATTTAGGGATCTATGCCCCTCCCACCAAGACATTCAGGCTTTTTTTTTAAATTTTAAGACAGGGCTGCTTAAACAAATTCAGGACCTTATATGGCCTTCCACGTCACCAGTTTAAGACCTCTGAGCTGCACCAATATCACACCTGAGGTCTTCAAGCTTGTACTATTAGGGCGGGACCCTAAGTCCAAAACAGAGTACAGTAGTTGAAACACCTTAAAAGTAATTAGGTACTGGACAGCAGCTTAACAGTGAGCACTAGTACGAAAATGTTTACACTGCAGCAGGGGCAGCACGAGTTAATGTGATCAAAAGAGCATTTTGATTTAATGTCATTTATACCTGGCTCCTTAAATTCTCCCTTCTAGGGGCTGAATTTAAGAAAAGGTGGGGTCAAGCGGTCCCATTCCTGCAAATGCAAAGGTGACACTGCACAAAGCCAAACTGCCTGGGACAGACGTCATCTTTATATATGACAGACATTTCAGTTTTAGTCTATTTAGGAATTAAATAATAATCGATTAATTATTGACTCTTCACAAGGGCTTCTAAACACTTCTATCCCCTACACACACCAAAGAGCAACAGTTGCCAAAAAAACCACCATATATAAATATCTCATTAAGTAATGAAACACCATTAAGCAACAATTAGTCTGAAATTGTCAAATTCCAAACTTTTGGGTATTCTAAAATGATAATCCTATTAATAAGCATTTTACCAATATTTTTAACCTCTTTAATGTGCAAATACAAAATTCCCAAAGAGGAAGCAGACTTAATTAAAGCTGTAATTATAAGTACACTACTGCCCATAGATTGTTTATTTTGGAGGGGGGAAATTGAATAGAACCAAAGCCCCCATTTCTCCCCATAAAAAAATTCAGGCTCATACTTTTTAGTATGTGGAACCAGGTTTTTAAATTTCTTCATTCAGCCATATTTTTATAAGGTACATCTTAATTATACAGATATTTAATTATGCCAGCTAAAACAATTATATTTTGCAATGTAACCACGTTATGTTACATCACACAAATTTTAAATGCCAACAGGTACCATTACTAACCCACTTGCCCAAAATTTAAATAATTAGCTTTTTATGAAAAAAGCTAATTATTTGGAATAACAAATAATTAGCTTTTTATGAAAAAAGCTAATTATTTGGAATAACTGAAATAATTAGCTTTTTATGAAAAAAGCTAATTATTTGGAATAACAAATAATTAGCTTTTTATGAAAAAAGCTAATTACTTGGAATATTTAAATAATTAGCTTTTCATGAAAAAAGCTGATTATTTGGAATAATTTAAATTAATATTGGTTTTATAATTACAGCTTACATTACTGGAGCTCAAAAATACGTACTTTTCTTTAACAGAAACTTTTAGAGGTGAGTGAGATAAGGCAGCAACACAATCCAGGACATCAAAGCACCATAGGAAACAGGAACAAGAAAATAGAAAAGACCTGCAGACACCAAGCGAGATAACAGATAAACCAGTGGACTCTTCATTTAACAGTTAATGAACGCCTACTGTGTGCCACGCACAATTTTATTACATGCAGCCAGGCCAGCTAGGGTTAACCCCTAGAGCTGCGAAGGGAAAATCCCAGCTTCGTGGGCACACGGATGCCCCCTCCTCGCTCAGAGGCCACGCCAGAAGCACCAGTCCACCGCTTAAAACTCCCAGAAACACAGTTCATAAGGTCCCTTGCTTTGGTCCCCAAAACAAGGTTAGGTGCCTTGTTGAGGGTCCCCAAAGCATCCGATTCCAGGAGGTCCACTGGTGCCCCCCCGAAAAGCTGAACGCCAAGACACATCAACATTTTTGTTCTTTATTTATAATAAACGCATTGGCTTCCATTACCTTAAGGGCACAAGCGACGTCACTTTAAAAAGTTCCCATCGCAATCGATCACCGGGAATTTCAAATGCGAGAGCACCTTATTTAATACCGCAAAGCACTTATTAAAAGCGCTTATGAACACCAGTTCTAATTACCATTGCTGTTAATTGTTCTTATTTATTATCTGTCAATTAGACACCAGTGGACAAAAATCAAAAACCGCGCGGCAGCGAAACAGCAGAGGGGCGGGGCTAGACAGCCAGGCTCAAACACG